GGTCTCTGCCATGGTCGGTAACACTGCTATGGTGGGTCACTCTACCTTGGTGGGTCACATACCATCGGTTGGGTTCACTACTCTTCCATGGTGGGTCACTCTTACCATGGTGGTCACTCTACCTTGGTGGGTCACTATACCATGGTGGGGTCACTCTACCATGGTGGGTCACACTACCATGGTTGGTCACTCTACCATGGTGGGTTACACTACCATGTGGGTCACACTACCATGGTGGGTCACTTACCATTGTGGTGTCAATGCATGGTGGGTCACTCTTCCTTGGTGGGGTACAATGCAATGGGCTGGGTCTCTGTACATGGTGGGCACAATACCATGTGGGTTAATTCTACCCTGGTGGGTCACTCTACCATGGTGGGTCACTCTTCCTTGGTTGGGTCACTCTACCATGGTGGGTCACACTACCATGTTGGGTCACTCTACCATGGTCGGGGTTACACTACCATGGTGGGTCACACTACTTGATGGTGTCTACTTACCATGGTGGGTCGCTGCCATGGTGGTCTCCACTCTACCTTTGTTGGTCACACTGCCAATGGTGGGTCACTCTACCATGGTGGGTCCACTACATGGTGGGTCACTCTACCATGGGGGGTCACTCTTCCTTGGTGGGTCTCTCTACATTGTGGGTCATTCTACCTGGTGGCGCGTCACTTCCTTGGTGGGTCACTCTTCCATGGTGGTCACTCTACCTTGGTGGGTTAACTACCATGGGGGGGTCACACTACCATGGTGGGTCTCACTACCATTGTGGGTATTTCTACCATGGTGGGGTCCTCTCTACTATTGGTGGGTCACCTACCATGGTGGGTCACACACTACCATGGTGGGGCACACTACCATTGGTGGGTCACACTACCATGGTGGGTCACTCTACCAGTGTGGGTCCATGTCTACATGGTGGGGCACTCTACCATGGGGGGTCACACTACATGGTGGGTCACACTACCATGGTGGGTTTACACTCTTGGTGGGTCACACTACCATGGTGGGTCACACAACCATGGTGGGTCACACTACCATGGTGGGTCTCACTACCAGGGGGGGTCACTCTACCTGGTGGGTCACTCTACCATGGTGGGTCACTCTAACCATGGTGGGTCACACTTCCATGGTGGGTCACTCTACACATGGTGGGTCATCTCCTTGGTGGGTCCACTCTACCATGGTGGGTCACTCTACCATGGTGGGGTCAATCTACCATGGTGGGTCACTCTACATGGTGGGTCACCACTACCCATGGTGGGTCATCTCTACAATGGTGGGTTCACTCTACCATGGTGGGTCACACTACCATGTGGGGTCACTCTACCATGGTGGGTTCACACTACCTTGGTGGGTCCAATACCCATGGTGGGTCAACTACCATGGTGGGTCACACTTCCATGGTGGGTCACATACCTTGGTGGGTCACACTACCATGGTGGGTCCCTTCTACAATGGTGGGTCAACCACTACCATGGTGGGTCCACTCTACACATGGTGGGTCCACACTACTGGTGGGTCACACTACCATGGTGAATCCCGTACACCCGGTCACACGTACCAGGTGGGTCAACATACCATGGTGGGTCAACTACAGGGTGGGTCACACTACCATGTGGGTCACCTACCATGGGGGGTCACATTTCATGGTGGGGTCACACTACCTTGGTGGGTCACTCTACCATGGTGGGTCACTCTACCTTGGTGGGTCACTCTTCCTGGTGGGTCACACTACCATGGGGGTCTACACGTACCATGGTGGGTCACTCTACCTTGGTGGGTACACTACCTTGGTGGGTCACACTACCATGGTGGGTATCTCTACCATGGTGCGCGCACTTTACCATGGTGGGTCTCTCTTCCAGGGTGGGGTCTCCATCTACCTTGGTGGGTCACCAATTACCATGGTGGGTCACACTACCATGGTGGGTCCACTCTACCATGTGGGTTACTCTACCATGGTGGGGCACTTTACCTTGGTGGGTTCACTCTAACATGGTGGGTCACTCTACATGGTGGGTCAAACTACCATGGTGGGTCACATACCATGTGGGTCACTCTACAATGGTGGGTCACACTACCATGGGTGGGTCACTCTACCCTTGGGGGTTCAATATACCATGGTGGGTCACTCTACCATGGTGGGTTCTCACTTACCATGGTGCGTGCACTCTTCCAGGGTGGGTTCACTCTTCCATGGCCTGGGTCAAACTACCATGGTGGGTTCACTATATCCCATGGGAGGTCACACTACCATGGTGGGTCAGGTCACACTACCATGGTGGGTCACACTACCATGGTGGGTCACTCTACCATGGTGGGTCACACTACCATGGTGGGTCACACTACCATGGTGGGTCACTTCTTCCATGTGGTGGGTCACACTTACCATGGTTGGGTCACTCTACCCATGGTGGGTCACTATACCATGGTGGGTACACTACCATGGTGGGGGTCAACACTACATGGTGGGTCACACTCATGGTGGAGTCACTTACCTGGTGGGTCACACTACCATGGTGGGTCACACTACCATGGTGGGTCACACTACCATGGTGGGTCACGGCAAATTTGTTAAAAAAATAAGAAACACAAGTGGAAAGTTTAGTGAAAATAATATCATTATCTATGTTCATAACTTTTTATTACAGTAATAAATCAAAAACTATGTACTAAACTTTGCATGTAATAAACAACATTATAAATGTGGATAAATGAAATAACATTATAAATGTTATGGTAGTGTAATATGTTTTAATAATATTATTGACTTTATCCCATATTTTACCATCTGTTCTATATTGTTTAACAGTTTGTCATATAAATTCCAAATCAACAATTAATATTTACTTATTAAAGTAACAATGATTTACTATTGTTATTTTTTATTATTTTTATTTATTTGATTTATTTACTTGGAACAATTAAACATTATAAAAGTTTTAGGGGGTAAACTTGGTATACATCAATAACTTTTTATACTTAACAGCTCAAAATAAAAAGTGTTAATGATCATTCTCCTCATAACAGGAGATTCTCAATAGGTCAATAACAGTCTCTTGATCATTGTTTCTTTTGTTGGTCTTTCACAAGTTCAATGTTTAAGTTGGTTACTGACAAAGTTCCATCAGCAGTGTTTACTGTTGGTTTACTGTCAAAGTTCATCAGCAGTCGTACTGTTGGTTACTGACATAAGTTCCATCAACAGTGTTACTGTTTGGTTAATGACAATGTTCCATCAGCTGTGTTATGTTGTTACTGACAAAGTTCCATCAAGCAGTTTACTGTTGGTTACTGACAAAGTTCCATCAACGTGTTAATGTTGGTTACTTGACAAAGTTCATAACAGAACCAAACTGTCAGTAAGAATAACAACGATGAGCGATTAATTTAAAATGATTCTCTAAGTCAAGATGTGATCATTAACTTAAACTGATTCTCTAAGTCAAGATTGTGATTCATAATTTAAACTGGATTATCTAAAGTCAAGGGGGGATGTGAATTCATAATTTTTAAACCTGATTCTCTAAGTAAAGAGTGATTCATTTATTTAAACTGATTTCTAAGTCAAGGATTTGTGATTAATAATTTAAATCTGAATTCTCAAGTAAAGATGTGATTCATAACTTAAAATGATTCTCTAAGTAAAGATGTGATTCTAATTTAAACTGATTCTCTATAGTAAACGATGGGATTCATAAATTTTAAACTGATTCTCTAAGTCCCAAGCTGTGATTCATAATTTAAACTGATTCTCTAAGTCAAGTTTGTGATTTCATAATTTTAAACTGATTCTCTAAGTCAAGATGTGATTCATAATTTAAAACTGATTCTCTATGGACATCATCTCTCCAGGGTCCTTAGAGTAGGGAGCAGAGACCTAGGTTGTGCTACTAACCAAAATCTTCTAACTTTACTTGAAACTTGGGCAACTTTCTGAAGTGTGTGGAAGAAGGCAAATGTAGTCCCCATCTTTAAAGATATTAGGACAGAATTGAAGCCTAAATTTTTATACCAGTGTTGTCTGACGTGGTATTGTATGCAAGTCATGGAGAAGATATCGGCGAGGAGGTGGTGGAGCACCTGGAGCGGAAAACAAGAATATTAACGACGGTCAGCATGGATATGGAAGGCAAATCTGTGTCACAAAACCTACTAGGTTTATGACAAGGTAACTGAATTAAGAAAGGAGAGACTGGGGGTGGGTTGTTGGCATTTTTCTATCGACGGCAAAGAAGGCCGTCGACACAGTTCCTCACAGTGATTAGTACTGAAGATAGAGAGGATCAGGACACATATAACAGGAAGCCGTACATACATTGGATCAGAGAATACCTAACAAAGGTAATTGATGAAGTATCACAGTGGGCGGCCTCTGACGTGTGGTGGTGTCCCACAGGGGTCAGTCCTTGGACCAAGTGCTGTTAATTGATATATGTGAATGACACTAAGTGAGTGTCCTTATTTGCAGTTGATGTGAAGTTAATCGGGGGAGGAATTAATAAGGTCTTCAAGAGATCTAGACAGGCTGGATGCGTGGTCACAGCAATGGCTCGTATTTATTCCTCCCAAATGCAAAAGTCTGAGTGTTCGGGGGGAAGGGCCAAACGAGGACTGCTGGACAGGGTATTGGCTAGGCGGGCCAAAGGCAGCAAATCTCACTTCAAGGAGAAGAATGATCTGGGGGAGGGAGTTTAAAACAGAGCAGTCGCCGGGAAAAAGCCCACATTAATCAAATAAATGCTGCGGCATATGGACGCCTGGCAACTCATGAAATAGCATTCAGATACCTCAGTAAGGAATCGTTCATGACTCTATACCTGTGTATGTCAGACCCATACTGGAGTACGCAGCGCCCAGTTTTGGAACCCACACTGGTCAAGCACATCATGAAATTCGTGTGATGAAAGTGCAAAAGGTTGGCAACAAAGGCTGGTTCAGGGCTAAGGTAGGAATGTTCTATGATGAAAGGCAGTAAGGGTACTGGGTCTTACCGACGCTGGCGGACAGGAAGGCTCCAGGGGAGGACTTGTTAATGCGGTACAAAAATACTGCGTGGAATAAAATATTCATTATGACACTAAGTTCATTTATTTCCTATGTGCTGCTGTTCAGCGATCTTGTAGGAAAACTTAAGTTTTTGTGTAGCTGCTGAATAAAATGTTGTTCTCACTAACATTATTAGAGGACAGGAACATTTTGAGTTTGAAGTACAGTACATTCACTTGAGAGATGTTATTATATGCTAGAGAGTCTTTGGAAGTAGTATGTCTGTGGTTCTTCTGGCAATAGGGACTTGCCTTGGTGGGTCACTACCAGTTTGGGTCTCTGCCATGTGGGTCAACTCTGCCATGGTGGTCACTTACCTTGGTGGGGTCCACTCTGACATGGTGGATCACTACCAGGTGTGGTCACTTACCATGGTGGGTCACTCTACCTTGGTGGGTCTCTCGGCCATGGTGGATCACTTCCAAGTGGGTCCTCTTCCATGGTGGGTCACTCAGCCCATGGTGGGTCACTATAACAAGGTGGGGGTCACTCTACCATGGTGGGTCACTACTTACCAAGGTGGGTCAAATCTAACATGGGTGGGTCACTCTACAAACGTGGGTCACTCTGCCTTGGTGGGCCCTGATGACTACGACACCCAACTCGGAAGAAAAGGGAATACTGCAGCAGTCCCATTGGCCAAACTAGACCGGTCCTTCACGACATCCCACTAACAAAATATTCTAACCAAGAAATAAGATTTATCATTTTCCACTGTATTATTAAACTCTTCCCAAATTCTATTAATTATTAATGTATCTAATTTATACAGACCAAAGGAAATATTCATATTATTTTCAAAACTGTTTTTTATGAAGCAAGATTCAATTATATTCCTGTCGACCATGGACTTGCTTGATACAACTTTCTCAACTTTTTGAAAATCAATTGGATGGTTAAAATCTCTCACATGAATTAATAGAGCATTGGAATCTTGTCCAGTTCTAATGCTATATTTATTGCTGTTTTAATCTTAGTTTGGGGACTTACCAGTTTGACCGTAATAAACTTTATCTAAAATTTTACAAGGAATCTTATAGACACATCAATCAGCATTTTTGGGGGAATTCGTTATTAAAAGTTTTTTTTACTGTATCAAGATTTTAAATACAACTTAACATTAAAAGTCTTAAGAAGAGAAGGCATATAAACCCAAAAGTTTTATGGTAAGGGAGAAACAAACATATTTTTAGTTGAAAAAGGCAGGTTGTCCCTTTTTGGATTGTAAAAAGTATTTCTAGAAATTGTTTAAAAATTATCACTTACGTTTCTTGGGTATTTCAGATTAATTTTTATGTTTCATCAATTCTGGATATTTCTTCATTTATGAATTTGGGAAACTACAAATACACAAGCTCTCAAAAAATGATGAGAAAACAGACAGTTTTAACCTATCTTGATGTGAAAAATTTAATAGTGTTCATAGGAACAGATTTTGTAGGTTTTCTGTAAATTTTAAATTTGAATTTGTTATTAATCTTAAAAATTTAAAAACTCTGAAAAGGCAATGAGTTATTTTTTTTTAAACTCAACAGTAAAGTTTATAGAATGGGCTAAGCTATTTAATTTTCCAAGGAAATGGTGTATATCTACATTTTTGGGCATAAGACACAAAATATCATCAACATATCTGAACCATTTAGCTCTATTAGGGAGGATTGTGTTAAGCAACCTGTTTCAAAAATTCCATGTATAGGTTATAAAAAAGGGGTGAAAGAGGATTTCCCATTGCCAAACCAACTTCTGAGTGAAAAAACTTATCATTAAATACAAAATTTTGCCCCAACAATGCAAAGTTTATTAAGTTTAATGATAGTAGGAACTGGCAAAGGTAAATCATTGTTAACGAGTTCTTCAGATGAGAAACTTAATAAATCATCAACAGGAACGTTCGTAAACAAGGAAGTAACAACAAAACAAACCCATTTTTAAATTCATTTAAGTCGGTCAAGAAGCTTCATTTATAAACTAAATCTATGTTGCTTTTAACATCAAAGTTAGAAATTTTGCCAACAATAGGGCTCAAAATTATCCAAATGGCTTGTTGGCATTTTGAGCCCTATTGTTGGCAAAACTTCTAACTTTAATGGTAAAAACAACATAGATTTAGTTGATAAATTAAGCAGAACTTGCAATCTTGGCTAAAATGGCAATGCTCATCTTGCCATAAAAGGACAATGAAATTTGTGTAGAAATAATCTCGCCAAAATCATTCTGAACCTAACGAAAAAAATATATTTCACTGTGTTTGTTTAGTATTAAATTATTGTAAACAAATCTAAAATATATTTAGTTGGGTTAGGCTAAAATAAACTGCACTTGTTTTAATAAGGTTAGGTTTATAATTTTGCACCAAAAGTTCTTTTGGTGCAAAATTATGAATTTTTACATCAACATTAATGAAAAATTATATCTTTAAACGTATAAGAAAAAAATTTTTAGAAAGGATTTAAATTTTAAATGAGTTCTTGCTAATTGACCGTTTTACATATTCGGAAATGTATATAATATATATTTATATATATTTATATATATATATATATATATATATTATATATTAATGTGAAAAATTCAAGAATTATGTGGATTAAAGTAAAGGTTGGATGCGAGAAGTGGGTCATAATAAGCGTGTATGCACCTGGAGAAGAGAGGAATGCAGAGGAGAGAGAGAGATTTTGGTGAATGTATAGGAGCCTTTGAACCAAGTGAGAGAGTAATTGTGGTAGGGGACCTGAATGCTAAAGTAGGAGAAACTTTTAGGGTGTGGTAGGTAAGTTTGGGGTGCCAGGTGTAAATGATAATGGGAGCCCTTTGATTGAACTTTGTATAGAAAGGGGTTCAGTTATAGGTAATACATATTTTAAGAAAAAGAGGATAAATAAGTATACAAGATATGATGTAGAGCGAAATGACAGTAGTTTGTTGGATTATGTATTGGTAGATAAAAGACTGTTGAGTAGACTTCAGGATTGTCATTTTTTTAGAGGGGCCACGATATATCAGATCACTTTCTAGTTTTAGCTACACTGAGAGTAAAAGGTAGATGGGATACAAGGAGAATAGAAGCATCAGGGAAAAAGGAGGTGAAGGTTTTAAGCTAAAAGAGGAGGCAGTTAGGGTAAGATATAAACAGCATTGGAGGTAGATGGGCTAATGAGGAGCAAGGCAATGGGGTCGAAGAGGTATAGGGTAGGTTTAAAAATGTAGTGTTAGAGTGTTCAGCAGAATTTGTGGTTACAGGAAAGTGGGTGCGGGAGGGAAGAGGAGCGATTGGTGGAATTTTGAAAGTAAGAGAGTAGTAAGGGTGAAAAAGTTAGCATATGAGAAGTTTTTACAAAGTAGAAGTGATGCAAGGAGGGAAGAGTATATGGAGAAAAAGAGAGAGGTTAAGAGATTGGTGAAGCAATGAAAAAGAGAGCAAATGAGAGAGGTGGGTGAGATGTTATCAACAAATTTTGTTGAAAATAAGAAAAAGGTTTGGAAATGAGATTAACAAGTTAAGAAAGCCTAGAGAAAAAATGGATTTGTCAGTTTTAAAATAGGAGAGGAGAGTTATAAATGGAGAGTTAGAGGTATTGGGAAGATGGAGGGGAAAATTTTGAGAATTGTTAAAAGTTGATGAAGATAGGGAAGCTGTGATTTCGTGTACAGGACAAGGAAGAATAACATCTTGTAGGAGTGAGGAAGAGCCAGTTGTGAGTGTGGGGGAAGTTCGTGAGGCAGTAGGTAAAATGAAAGGGGGTAAGGCAGCCGGATTGATGGGATAAAGATAGAAATGTTAAAAGCAGGTGGGGATATAGTTTTGGAGTGGTTGGTGCAATTATTTAATAAATGTATGGAAGAGGGTAAGGTACCTAGGGATTGGCAGAGAGCATGCATAGTTCCTTTGTATAAAGGCAAAGGGGATAAAAGAGGGTGCAAAAATTATAGGGGGATAAGTCTGCTGAGTATACCTGGTAAAGTGTATGGTAGAGTTATTATTGAAAGAATTAAGAGTAAGACGGAGAATAGGATAGCAGATGAACAAGGAGGCTTTAGGAAAGGTAGGGGGTGTGTGGACCAGGTGTTTACAGTGAAACATATAAGTGAACAGTATTTAGATAAGGCTAAAGAGGTCTTTGTGGCATTTATGGATTTGGAAAAGGCGTATGACAGGGTGGATAGGGGGGCAATGTGGCAGATGTTGCAAGTGTATGGTGTAGGAGGTAGGATGGTATAAACCTTGGTAATAAATACCGACAAGTTGGTTTAGAAAGACATGTAAGCAAACACTATAACATATTTATTAGAAAACGTTTCGGTCCTGGGACCTTGATCACTTCTAACATACAGAGGTAGAAAGACATTATATATAGAGGCGGAGAGTGAGATGTGACGCACGTGACCTGAGGAATGTCATAAGAACATAAGAATGGAGGCCTTCTACAGTGTTCCTCCATTCTTATGTTCTTATGACATTCCTCAGGTCACGTGCGTCACATCTCACTCTTCGCTTATATATATATAATATCTTTCTACCTCTGTATGTTAGAAGTGATCAAGGTCCCAGGACCGAAACGTTTTCTAATAAATATGTTACAGTGTTTGCTTACGTGTCTTTCTAAACCAGGAGGTAGGTTACTGAAAGCAGTGAAGAGTTTTTACGAGGATAGTGAGGCTCAAGTTAGAGTATGTAGGAAAGAGGGAAATTATTTCCCAGTAAAAGTAGGCCTTAGACAAGGATGTGTGATGTCACCGTGGTTGTTTAATATATTTATAGATGGGATTGTAAGAGAAGTAAATGCGAGGGTCTTGGCAAGAGGAGTGGAGTTAAAAGATAAAGAATCACACACAAAATGGGAGTTGTCACAGTTGCTCTTTGCTGATGACACTGTGCTCTTGGGAGATTCTGAAGAGAAGTTGCAGAGATTGGTGGATGAATTTGGTAGGGTGTGCAAAAGAAAAAAATTAAAGGTGAATACAGGAAAGAGTAAGGTTATGAGGATAACAAAAAGATTAAGTG